CTCTTTGGTGCAGCTCGAGGCCGCTCATCAAGGTCGATGAGCAAGAAGGTTGACCAGCAAAGGTCCTGCGCAGCCATGGCACCGGCGTGGATCTCGTCCTCATCGCTAGATTGCGCCACAGACGACCACGGAGTAGACCTCCACAAAAATGCTCCGAAGCCCAAGCTGAAGCAATACCCCTGTGTAGACCTGGTGGTCTCCACGTCGCCGGCATAGGAAGTGTCAAAGTGACCGGTCAGTACAACTGCCTCTCTCCCTCTAAACACAATGCTCATGCCTGATGTAGTCGCCAGGTACTTTGCTACCCTCTCAGCCGTTACCTAGTGAACAGGATGGCGTCTCCCAGTCGCAACAAAGAGAGCCATGACATAGAGAGGAAAACCGAGGTTCGGATGAGTACAAGCCATCAGATACATGAGGCAGCCCACAAGCTTTGCGTAGGGGCCACTCGACTCAAAGGGCTCGTCAGGAAGAGGAGCGGTGAGTCTGTGGTCAACGGCAAGAGGAGTGGGTTGTGTGGTAGAGAACTGAAGCCTGAATCCCTACAGGACCTGCTACACCATGTTCGACTATGTCAGTGTGATGGTGCGTGCGGCCCTGTCTCTGGTGATCCGCAATCCAAGGTAGCGTCGTGGTTCACCAAGGTCAACGCACATTTATCTCTTCCGCAGTTCAGAATTCACCTAAGCCAGAACAGCCATGTCTGTTGTAGGGAACTCCAAGTTGTCAAAGTAAAGGAGGATGAATAAAGGACTAGAGCCGAAGCAAACGAACAGCGACAATTCGGCGGGCGAAGGTCTGAAACCGAGGTGAGCAAGTGTGGAGCAAAAAATGTCGTGCCACTCATGGGACGTCTGGCGGAGACTTTAGAATCGTCTTCTCAGGCTCCACTGGGTCCCAAGAGGGAGAATGCCAGTGAAGCCATGAAGATGGCGCAGCCAGATGTCCTCGTACAAGCGGCCCTGGAGAACGGCAGTGGAGAAGTCCAGTGTGTGCAACTCGTGGTCTTGCTGTGCTGCAACATGAAGGAACACCCGAAGAGTAGTCATCTTCGGGGTCGAAGAGAAGGTCTGGAAGAAGTTTACTCCTTCATGCTGAATGAAAACTCTAGTCATGTAGCGCGCCTTCAAGACAGGTGGAGATCCAGTCGACCGCTTGACCTGGAAGATTCACATGCCATTGAGTATGTTCGTTGTGGGAGGGGAAGCTGAGTCGACGTAAGTGTCAGTGGGTCTCAACGGTGCCATCTCTGAGCCCATGGCAGATATCCACTGAGAGGCCCACTGTCCCGACACTACCTCACAATACGTGCAAGGAGTCGGTATGTCAAGGGCGTCGAGGTTTCCCAGAGGGGCTAGCAACATGGCACAGAGATGGGGAGAAGCAACCACCAAAAACTCTAGCTCAAACTGCCTCTCCTCAAGGACGCCACAGCCAAGGGCGAAATCTCCCCCGGCAGACATAGGACAGGCTGGCACGACACGGGTGGCGTAGTCAAGATGGCTGGTGGTGGCAAAGTCAGAGATAGCCACAACAAGAGTCGAAAGAGATGACAAGATTCAGTAGTGTTCGTGACAAATAGAGGCGAGAATACGTGAGATAACCAGACGAGCATTACAATTGTAGTCAGTGATAGTGTGAAAAGAGGATGTAAGAGACGACGCAGGCGGTGACGGAAGAATAGACTAAGGCGGAGATCGAGGAGGACTAAAACAAAGTAAAAAAGAGTGGAGGTCGTTAAGAGGAGACAGGGCACAAGCGTTAGGGTGACATCGAGTGGTCCAGGGATGCGAGGCGGCTGTGACCCGGGAGGGGAGAAAACAGTCGGGGACGAGTCCGTTGGAGGTAGACCATGTGCAGTAGGAGGCGATGAGTGGTTCGGAGGGGAGGAAGGGAGAACAAGGGCCCGGAGGCAACTTACAGGTGGGAACAAGTGTTGCAAAAGGGACGGTTGTGGCGTCTGCTGCTGCATTTGCTGCTCCAGCTCCACCCTCTCCTGCACCAACCACTCTTGTTCCTTACGCTCAAGCCGAAGAAGAACCTGGTGACGCATCGGGTAGCGGTGGAGAGGCAGAGTAGGCGCCGCAGTAGCAATGCCTCCAAATCCAATGCCAATGCCTACAACTCTAGCACCCCCAGAGGTAGCACCTCCAGTGCGAGCACCTCCAGCTTCAGAACCCCTAGAACTAGCACCTCCACTACGTGTACTCCTAGCTCCAGCGCCCACAAAAGTAGCACCTCCAATGATTGCACCTCCAGCTCTAGCACCCCTAGAACGAGGAGCTCAAGTGACAGTACCTCCAGCAGCAGCACCCCTAGAACTAGCACCTCCAGTGTCAATATGCCCAGCTCCAGCACCCTTAGAACCAGCACCTCCAGCGCCCGTGCCTCTAGCACCAACACCCCCAAAGTCCACTGCAACCTGTCGTAGTAGTGCCGAAGGCTGCTACAGTGGGTGTGCGGACGGCTGTGGGAAAGGAGACGACACCTGACGTGCTACCGAGGGGAGAGGGGTAGTGTGAGTCACACCTGACGAGGCAGGACCTGGATGAGGGGGGTGTGTGAGAGGAGCAAGATCAAGAGGAGTGGGATCTAGAAAGAGGGGAGGGGGCGAAACCGGGAGACCTCGGTGTGGGGAGGGGGAGTAGTACGATACTGACTTGCCAAAGCGGACATAATGGGGCAAAACTCAAATTCAGGGGCGTCCACCAAGAAATCAAGGAAGACACTGGGAAGGGAGCGAGCCGAGAGTTAATCCGTAGAAATATCGGACATGCACAAGGCAGCCCCATACACAAAACTCCAACGCAACACCAGGGGACATGGTCCAAAAACTGTTTGGTGAAGCCTCTGGGTGTGAGACACGAGGCCAGAGGATCAGGTGGTGGTGGGAGTACCGAACCGCGTAGGGCCACAGAAAATAGGGCGCACTTGCATTGACCATGGAGGTGCGGGCGATCTTCATCACCAAGCCTATGCTAGCTCAGGAACCTCATTCTGCTGTGAGGACTCCATAAGTGTCTAGGACTGAGTGACACCTTGCTCGGCACGCACAACGGAGCGAAACTCATCCCCACGGTCGGAGTGGAGACAAAGGGCACAACTACCGCGCGTAGCACTAATGGCAAGCAACCACGAGACCAGGGTAGAAGTCACATCGGACTTCTTCCACAAAGGGAACACGTTGGTGTAGCAAGATAAATCGTCGACGACCACCAGGAAGAAGCTCTCCCCCTTGGGCCCAGGGCGAGGGGTGGGGCCCCGGACGTCCAAGTGGAGAGTCTGGAAGGGCGCGGTGGCTAGGCGAAGGGAGGAGAAGCGAGGGGTGGTGCTCAGCCTACCCTCGACGCAAGGAGTGCACAGCGGCGCCGGCGAAGGTGGGAGCGACGCAAACACTAGCGGTAGACTGGGACAAGACGCTGGCGAGACATGTGACGAAGGTGTGTGAGGGATGGGTGACCAAGACAGTGGTGCCACAGGACTGTCGAGTGGGTGAGCGACTGACAGGAGCACGACACAGCAACCTGACCAGACGCAACTACTTGACTAGACGCAACTACCTGACCAGACACAACTACCGTCAGCCCCCGGATAGAAGCGCCCCTGGGGTTATAAAAAAACACTTTTTTTTAGGGGGTGCGCTTATAATTGAGGAATTTTATAAGCGCCGGCGCTTATAAAATGGCAAAAAGAATATATATTTGTTTTACACCAAACTGTATATCTCGTTCTGCCGATTGTAATCGAGTCGAAAACATGTAGGGTCGCTAATCTGATTCTCGCGCACCTTGGCAGGGAGTGATTCCCTGCCAGCTCACCCTGACAGAATTACAGCACATGCTGACTAGACGCGCAAAAAGTGAGTTCAGAGTGTGGGAAATCGAAATTGTGGTTCGTTTCCCTGATTATGTGAATTTCGTTTCTGATATGTGAAGGGTTTTCAAATAAAAAACAAACATGCGCTTATAATATATCATCTTTTTCTAGGGGGTGCGCTTATAATCGAGGACCGGATATAAGCGCCCTCATCCTTTTATAAGCGCCGGCGCTTATCATAGGTATGCGCTTCTATCCGGGGGCTTACGGTACCTGGGGAGACACGGTGTGTAGTATGAAGAGACCTGAGCAGGGCTCGCGACGGAACGGGGCCTCAGTTGTTCGAGTAGCACCATCCGTGCAGGTCGCAACACGCTCGTGTAGAGGAAACCAGGTGCCGACGCCGAGGTCCTGAAGGGGTCCAACCAACACCCACCAAGTTCTTGGAGAACGAGGGGATGTGGAGACCAGTGAGGACACCAGAGGGGACAGCCAGGCACGGAGGGTGGTGGAGCTGCAGGCAACTGCTGGTCCTGAAGTAGGGTCAGCCAATGCAACCGGAACTGGAGCAGGAAGCATTGTGACAGTTATGTGGTCGCGGAAAAAGCACTCTGTTCAGGAGCGGTCAAGAGGCCATGTACCCCGTTCATAATAAATCTCGCTAACGAACCATCAGCGTGACCTGAAATATTACCCTTACGAATTAGGGAAAACCTTGATACTAAAACTTTACCCATAGCCATCGGTGTGACCTTCAGATTTTACCTTGACATCAGTGAATCAGGGTAATTTACACTTAAAGAACAAGGCCTGACCTAGACCCTATAGACTACAAATAATGAGGATTACACAAAAGAAGCTAACAAAGTTTATCATGTCTGTATCTCCTAGACACATCACAGGTGTCGCACGTAATAAATTGTTACTTCATTTCCACAACCCACAAGATAGAAATATATAGACGACACTTCGAGCAATACACCACAGCATGCTCAAAACCCTTGGCACAGGCGCACGCAGTGAGCAGCAAGGAGCGAACAGCAAGCTGCAATTCGTGCATTGACCACTATGAAGCCAGGCCCTTGGTTTTATCTCATCGTCCCGGACAGCACTTACTGAAGTTCCAGCAGATATTCAGCACACACCAGCACACGACTTGCGAGATGCCTCAATCAGCGAGCACACTAGGAGGCCAGCCCCTTGGTGGGTGTTTCATCATCCCTTGCAGCAAGAGCGATGTTGGAGATCCAGCACACTCCAGTGGACCCGGAACTCGTCAGCAGCTCCCACTCCCCCACCTCCATCCCTCCCCCCCTCCTCGCCTCCCCTCTCCCTCTCCCTCCCAACCCCTCCTGCCCACTCTCACTCCCCACCTCCTCTCCCTCCTCCCCCGCCCCCCTCTCCTCCCCCTCATCCCCTTCAGCTACCTCGGAGAGCGAAGGCCCCACGTCAATGCTGCTGTTTACTGTGTCCTTATCGTCGTCCTCACTCTCGTGCGTGCTTATATCAGAAGCCGTCGACCCCCCTACAATCACCACACTGTCACTCAACGCCCCCTGCTTTCCCCCACTCCTGCCGTCCGAACCGTCCCCACCTTCCTCCCCTTCCACCTCCTCTTCCCCCTCTTCCACCACACCACCCAGCCCACCTCGTCTGCTAATCTGTAGCCCTGCTACAGCCGCTACAGCCGCCGCCGCCACAGCAGCAGCCTCGGTCTCCGAACCTGCTGCTACTACAGCTGCGGCAAAACTGGCTGACACAGTTTGTCTGGATCCCCCCACCCCTGCCTCCTCACCATCAAGACTCTCAGGCTCGTTCGCAGGAGTGGGGGGCGGGGGCGGGGGCGGGGGCAGTGGCGGCAGGGAGGCATGGTGGTGCGAGTGGTGAGAATCATGGTGGAGGCGGCTGGGATGGGTGTAGAGCGGTGCAGCACGGCGCTGCGACCAGGAGTAGCCGCAGAAATCGACAGCGACGACAGTGACGGGCGCTAAGCGTTCCACGCTGGCCGCTACGGCGTCGCCATGTGTCACACAGAGGATGTTGTCGCTGGGGAAGAGCGCTGCCACGTCATCAAAGGCCTGCATGAAACGCTCCCGTGCACTCTCGAGCGATTCCGGGAAGATGGGGAACTGGTAGTGGGCGAGGGGATGAGGGGATGGGAAAAAAAGGGAGGGAAAATGGGCAAGCATGAAGCGATCGCTTCATGAGGAAGAGAGTGTACAGGCGGAAGGGAAGGAAATGGTAATTATGCGAGCATGCATGTGCAAATGCATTTGCGTGCAAATGGTGTGCTTGTGTGCACACAAGACACCAGGTGTACATCGGTGTGGGCAAGCACTCGCATCTGGAGGGCATTCCGGAGAGCATCGGCGCGCTGAAGGAGTTGCGCCGCCTGCACCTGCTCAACATCTCGTGCGCGCTGCCCAACGTGGGGGAGGAGTGGCGCAAGCTGGAGGAGGTGCACCTGGAGGAAGTCAGTGCAGACCACCCCCTGCCCATCTCCCTTGCGTCTCTCACGCACCTCACCTTCCGCCGGTGCTGCTTCCTCCGCGCCCTCCCCGACGACATCGACACGGCGCCAGCCCTTCGCGAGCTCGAGATCGTCGAGGTGCCTTTCACCTCGCTGCCGCGTTGATCTGGAAGCTAACGTCACTAGAGCGGCTGGTGCTGGCGCCGTATGGGTCGTTGAGGGCGCTTCCAGCCGCGCCCCGAGTTGCATACAGCAGTGCGGCCGGCAGCGCCCTTAACGACCCGTACAGCGCCAGCACCAGCCGTTCCAGTGACGTCAGCATCCAGATCGACGCGGCAGCGAGGTGAGAGGCGCATCGACGATTTCGAGCTCGCGAAGGGCTGACGACGTATCGATGTCATCGGGGAGGGCACGGAGGAAGCGGCACCGGCGGATGGTGAGGAGCGCGAGAGACGCGAGGGAGATGGGCAGAAGGTGGTCCGTGCTGACTTCCTCCAGGTGCACCTCCTCCAGCTTACGCCACTCCTTCCCCACGTTGGGCAGCGCGCACGAGATGTTGAGCAGGTGCAGGCGGCTCAACTCCTTCAGCGCGCCGATGCTCTCCGGAATGCCCTCCAGGCTGTACCACCCGTAGAATGGGTAAGATGGTGGGCAACCATGCAAGGCTATGCATGGCATGCACAGTGGTGTGCGTGTGCCAGCTCACCTCAGAATGCACACTCCTGCCTGCCCTCCCCTCTCCAGGGGCAGCAGTAGCGCCACCAGCACTAGAGAACGCAGGGAGCGGCAAGAAGGTGGTGCCGGGGGGAAAGAGCGCCTTCAGGTCGCCTTCCCCCAGAACCCAACCCTTGCTGCGCGCCTCTGCTGCTGCTGCCTCCACTGCTGCCGCCAGCCCTGCATGCTCCGCCACGCTGCTGTGTGGGATGGACGCCGCTGGTGGGCGCTCCTCCGTGCAGCGCCTCAGGGCGCGTGTGTTCATCACCTCAGCCAGGGCGGGGGTGAATGACACCTGTGGGCGGAAGCGGGGGAAAAGGGGCGGCGGGGTTGGCGGAAGAAGGAAAGGAGAAAGGCATGAGTAGGGGCCCAGGGAGGAAAAAGCGGAAACACGAGTGAGGGCTCGGCAAGAATAGGGGAGCTGGGACGGAGGACGGGGAGTGGTGAGAGTTGGGGAGCTAGGGGACAGAGAGGAGAACGAGGAGGAGCAGCGAGAGACGGGATAGAGAGGGATGCGAGGAGAGAGGGATGGGATGACAGAGAAGGGAACGAGGGGGAAGGGAGGACAGAGAAGGGAAAGAGAGAGATGAGGTGACGGGGGATGGAGAGGAGGAGCAGAGGGGGAGAGGGGGGGTGTACGGGGACGGGGGAAGGAATGCAGGAGGGAGATGGCTAGGCGCCTCACCGTGACAGTGACACCCGGAAGCGAAGCTTCCAATTGGGCCTGTCCCTCCGCCCTTTGCAATCCCTCCGACGCCACCGCCCCCTCGCCTGCGCTGTCCGCCTCCCCCTTTTCCCCCTCCGCCCCTACCCCCGTGCGTGAGCTCAGCAGCCCCGCCACTAGGTGAACGGCCGTCTGCACGCAGCGGCGAAACGGCGACACCACCACGCGCATCACAGCGCCCTCTTTCTTGCCCTCCCTTTCGTTCTCCCCCTCCCCTTCCTGCTTCCCTTCCGCCGGTGCTTTCCCCTCGTCGACCGCCTTCCCCCCGCCACCCCTCGCCGCGCCAAAGCCCCGCGCCCTGAGTGCCTGCCCGACCTCCTCCGCCGCCTTGGCGCCTCGCGCGGACAGCGGCGGGTCCCAGGGTCGGTCCGAGCCTGCTGCCCAGCCGTCGTCCTGCTCGTCAATAGGCTCGGCGTGCCGAACCACGACGAGCGTCTGAACGGTGGGAGCAGCAGGGTAGGTTGCGCCTGCCCCGCCGAACCTGCTCCCCCCTGCTTCCCGCTCCGCCAGGCCCGCCGACTGCCCCCCTGATGGCTTTTCCCCGGGGCTGGAAAACAGCGCCTTGCTCGTTATACCGAGTCTGCTTGTAACGAGGCCTGTTCCCGCTAAGTCCGCCATAGGCTGATCAGAGGTGAAGGAAGGCGCGGGCGACATGTGGTAGGGCGGGATAGACGAGCACGTGGAGAATTGATCCAGCGACATTATGCTTCCCGTCGGGCTGCCGAGCGTGGCCGCCACGCTGCTGTCTTGGCTAGTCGTCCGAACCAGGTGGCCCGGCGGGAAGTCTACCCGAACCTGCGGTAGGGTGGGTAAGAAGAGTCCGTCCTGAGGAACGGAGCCGGGGGTGAAAGCGCCGAACGTGCTTCCCATGCTGCTTAAAACGGGGATGTCTGCTTCGGGGATGGAATGCGCGGCAGATTTGAGACCCCCGCACGGGACAATGGGATGGCGGATCCCTACATCCCCGGGCTTTGCCGCTGCTTCTGATTCTACCGGATCCCGCCGTTCTGAATCCAACGGCACCGTCGACGCTTGCGTGGCGAGATCGGCTCGATCGAGCGAAGCGGAAGCGTCGGGGGTGTCTCCCGCGAAAGCGGCGGGACCGTCTTCCCCCGATGCGGTGGGGTTGTCTCCCGCGGGGATCAGCGCCGTGGCCGCGACCTGCTCGTCGCCTGCGACTGCTGCGAATCCTGCGGCTTCTGCAACTCCTGCGACTCCTGCGACTCCTGCGGCTCCTGCGACTCCTGCGGCTGCTTTGGATCCTGTTTGCGACATCGTCGCGGTGCAACGAGGTATGAGGCGTGAGGAAGGAGGTTCGACTATTCAAGCGACAACCGAATAAGCGACAGCCGGCGCAGTGATTCCAGAAGCACAGGCGATGACCGGCGATGGGAGAACGTGGTGTGACATGTGGAGATTTCAGAGCAACGTGGAATGGCGATGACCAACAGGCGGTGATGATCCCAAGAACTGGAGCAACCCTAGGGTGGAATCAGGATTCGGCAGGGGATATTTGAACTGTACTCACCATTGATGATTTCAAAATGCTGAAATGATTATGTAGTTCCTAGTCTCAAGTGATGTCGTCAAGGTCATTCTAAGGCCGCGAAACTTTCTGTTTCCGTCCAATGTCCGGACTAACCCCCCAAACCGTCCGAACAGAGCTCCGTCCGGACATTTGGGACTCAGGTCCAGACAACAGCCCGTCTGGACTACGAGTTTCTCCACTAGAAAAAAAAAATGAATTTTACCTCGAATAAATACGCACATCACTGAATGTCAAATGTTGATATTTGTGATAGGCTGTAGTGAGGTGCTCCTTAGTGAGTACAAACATGTTAGGTTTCCTGGTTGTACCCCAAATCCTTTCTAGTCATCATTCCGTTGTGTTTAGATTCTGAGATGGTATCCGAGTAGGTTTCGTTCCTAGCTCCCCGCCCTAGCCTAGCCTAGCGACTTCGCGCCTTAGCGCCCTCCTAGCCCGGCTGCGCCCTCCGCGCCTTCGCGCCCTCCTAGCGCCCCTCCCCACGGTCGACCGCCCTTCCCCACTGTCGTCCGCGCCCTCCCCACCGTCGCGCGCCTTCTTCAGCGCCCCTCCTCACCGTTCAGCGCCCTCCGCGCCCCTAGCCCGTCGCAGGGCCTACTTTTGGATTTTAGGTACTCTGAATTCCAGAGTGGTTTTTTTGCCAACTCTGAAATCTAGGGTTGTTCTTACGCCTCACTCTGAGTTGTCAGATTAACCCTATGTTTTGGGAAAAAAACTCAGGCACGTCAGAGTAATATTTTGCTTTACTCTGATGTTAGTTTACTAAGGTGTATGATCTGTATGGCTAATTTGTTACGCCTTTCAGAAACTCCAGACCCGTCATAGGGCGAGAGCTGCATGACGGGCCGGGATCAGGTTCAGGCGCAGCAGCGTCAGCGTTGTCTGCATTGAACAGGGTGCGGAACAGAGTGGGGAGACGCGTGGCTGTGATGTTGGGGTACGCAAGGCACCTGAAGGATTGGGGAAATGGGTGGAGAAACTGTGAGCCAGCCGAGCACTAGCAGGCCTTGGCGCCAACACTCGAACGAAATCTGGATGGTGTTCTCGGCGACTTGGGGAAAACCCGATATTCGGGAGAGGGGGGGAGGGAGGGGGGGGAGGTGGGGGGGGGGTGGCTAGGGGGCATGTATGTATCCTCTGTACAGAGTAAACTCGGTCCTTAGAATAAAAACCCAGAGAGCTCAGAGTAGCCTACAAAAAAACTCTGATAAATCAGAGAAAACTAAACTTTTAAAAGCAAAACCCAGCAGGTACAGAGTTCCTTTCAAAAATGACTCTGATTTTCAGAGAAACAGAGTAATTTACTCGGAAAACGTGGGGCCTGGCCCGTCGCCCAAGCCCGCGCCCTAACCCGTCGCCCTAGCTCGCGCCTTCGCCTAGGCCCGCGCCCTCGCCTTAGCCCTTGCCCCCACCTTAGCCCGCGCCCTACCAACGCCCTCGCCAATGGCCGCGCCCTAACCCACACGCCACCTCTTCCTAATGTCCCAACCGCCCCTTCTCACCTAGCCATTGCCCTGTCCCCCGAGCTACAACCGTTCGTACTGCTACTGGGTTCTCACTTCGCGGTTGGCAGCCGCTTCTCGCTCCGGTCACTAGATCTTGTCAAATATTATATCCTGTAGTGGGTTGGGCTATATGGGGTACAACTAGTTAGGGTTAGGTTATGTACCCCAATCCTGTCAATACAACGCATTCCGCTGTAGTTCTCATTCTGACATGGTATCAGCAGTAGGTTAGCGCTCCTAGTCCTAGGCCCGCCCTTCCCTACCACTAGGGTTACCACTGCGCCCTGCCAGCCCGCCAGCGCCCTACCCCACGCCCCAGCCGGCGCGCCCCTCCCCTCCCCGCCCTTAGCCAGCGCGCCCGCCAGCCAGCCAGCGCGCCAGCAGCCTGCGCGCCAGCCAGCCAGCCAGCGCGCCAGCCAGCCAGCGCGCCAGCACCCAGCGCGCCAGCCAGCCAGCGCGCCAGCCCGCCAGCGCGCCAGCCAGCCAGCCAGCGCGCCAGCCAGCCAACGCGCCAGCCAGCCAACGCGCCAGCAGCTTGCGCGCCAGCCAGCCAGCCAGCGCGCCAGCCAGCCAGCGCGCCAGCCTGCCAGCACGCCAGCCAGCCAGCGCACCAGCGCGCCAGCCAGCCTGCGCGCCAGCCCGCTTGCACGCCAGCCCGCCAGCGTGCCCGCCAGCGGGCGCACCAGCGAGCCTGCCGGCTCGCCTGCCAGCGCGCCCGCCAGCGAGCTCGCCAGCGTGCCCGCCAGCACACACGCCAGCGCGCCCGCTAGCGCACCCGCCAGCGCGCCACGCCAGCGGGCCGCGCCAGCGCGCACGCCAGCGCGCGCCCTGCTTAGCCGCCCGCCAGCGCGCCGCGCCCGCGCGCCACGCCAGCCAGCGCGCTGCGCCGGAGCGCGCCCCGCCGCCCCGCGCCCAGCCAGTGCGCGCCCCGCCTGCGCGCACCCGCCTCGCACTCACCTCCCTCTCCTCCTCCTCTCGCGGCTGGCGGCCGCTATCACTTGTCCTCGCCCCTCATGGCGACGTCTCGCGTGCTCCGTTTCGACCCTGAGGGGCGTGCGATCGACTTTAGTACCTGGCTGACGCAGGCCCAGCGCCACCTTAGGAGCCAGCGCCAGGATGGCGCGCACCTGTTTGCGCATGCGTCCGATGCTCTGCCCGCCCCGCCGCAGCCTTCACCGCTGCCCACTTCCCCACCGCCTACTTCCGAGCAGGAGGCTGAGTACCAGCGCCGGTTCCTCGCTCGTGACGTGTGGGAGTCTCGTGACGCTGCTGCCTGCCTCGCCCTGACCGACCTTCTCCCGCCAACTGAGGCTGTCCACTTCACTCAGGTCGAGTCTGCTGCAGACCTTTACACTGCTATTGTTGCTCGCTTCTCCACTCCCTCCTCTGCCTCCCTCAGCCGCCTCCTCGTCCCCTTTATCTACCCCAACCTCGCCTCCTTTGAGACTGTCGCTGACCTCGCTACCCACCTGCGCTCCCTTGAAGCTCGCTTCAAGGCCGCTTGCACTGAGGAACAGCTTGCCCTTGCACCCCCCCCCCCCATGTGGCTCACCATTCACTGGTTAGTCACTCGCCTCCCTGACCGTCTAGCCACAGCCCGCGACGCGCTTCTCCTGAAGCACCCCACTGAGCTTACTATCGATCTTCTTGAGACCGCTCTCTCGAAGATCGAGAGTAACCTCCTCGCTGTTGCCTCCGCCTCTTCCGCGCCTCCTCCTCGTCTCGTTGAGGGGTGTGCGGTACTACACCTTCCCACCTTCACTGCCTCGCTTGCCACTGCCGCGTATTCTGCCTCTGAGGAGACGGCGGCCGTTTCTGTCTCTGGCGGACAGAAACGTGGCAAGTCCGGCAAGAAGGGAGGGAAGGGCGGCGGGGGTTCTGGGGGTGTTGCGGGTGGCGGCGGTGGCGGTAGTACTAGTGGCGGGGGTGGCGGCGGGGGTGACTCGGGACCTGACGGCTCTCCTCTAGACGGTGGTGAGGGGTTTTCGCAGCAGGAGCAGCAGACTCCTCCGCAGCTGCCACCGCCTGGACAGCAGCAGCGGCAGGAACAGCAGCAGCAGCGCCAGGGCCAACAGCAGCGTCCGCCTCAGCAGCAGCCCCAGCAGTGGGGCACTCAGCAGCAGTGGGGCCCTTCGCAGTAGTGGCCCCCCCCGCAGCAGTGGAGACCTACGGGCCCCCCGAGCACTGGGCGCAGTGGTGCCCCCTCTAGTCGGGGACCCCGCTCGGGCGGCCGCGACGTTGGTCCCTGTGAGTACTGGATCCTGACTGGTCCGCGCAGGGGCACGTACTGCGGCCGCCCTGACCACTCTGCTGTACGTTGCTTCAGCTGTCTTGACGACCTGTACGTCCTGCACCACGGTCCCTCCGCTCCCCCGCCACCGCGCTGGGGACCACTCCTTGCTCGTGGTGTTGCTGTGTTTGATATGTCTATGGATGATGCTAGGTCTTATGCCATGTATGCTGATGTTGACTATAGTGCTGTCGGATCTGTTTACTTGCCTGTACCTAGCGTAGGATCTTTGCCTGTTGCTAGAGTAGGTGCTGGTGTAGGATCCTCTCTAGCTACT